ATTAGTGCAGCCAATTCAGCTAAAAGAACAGACCCAGCGATTATCGGAACGCGGCCAAAGGCCTGTTTCTACAATGCATCGTGTGTTGGTGACGTCGTGGGTCATAAGAATGGGCCAATCACAATCAAGCATTTTGCCCCACGTCCGACTGTGATTGGTCAATTCTTGTGGTTTGTGATTTGTGGCACCGACATGCGACGTATTGTAGAACAAGCCGAAGAGAGCTTACAGTTGCTGAACGATTCACGTATCGACGGACATCACTTCCGGGACGGGAAAGGAAGAGTTGTATTCGGTGTCGGCCATTTTGTCCGATTTGCTGTCGACGTCGTCGCGCGACGATCGTTCTCGCGTCTTAAAATCTTGATCGTTGCACGAGACGCTCTGTCTATAAGAGCGCTCGCCGTCTGTACGTTGTAGCTCGTAATCGATAGTCCAGTGTCGAGGACATTCCGTATTCACATATATCCTTCTCTTGTCTCTGCAAGCAGCGTGAAATTCCGTGGTCCGCTAATGCGTGGCGTTTCAGAGAGCTCCCCGACTCGCGCAATGGCGGAGGATTTGGATGTCGAGGCGATGTTGGAGGCGCCTTACAAGAAGGGGGTAAGCTTTGTTTTTTTCATGTATTTAATATCGACCTATTTCCTTTTTCTTTTCTCTCTCTCTGTCTCTTTCTCTCATTTAATCTCTATCTGACCCGCCGCAGTTTCCATCACGCTCGTGCATCGCATTATCCGAATGGCGAAACGTGCCTTCCGTTCCCCCCTCCCCCTTTTTTTTTACATGCACTTGCCGTATGAGAGAAAGGGAATCCGCCACTCCTGCGTCTCCGCTATCTGTCTCATTACTTTTTTTTATATTCTCTCTCTCTCTCTTTCTCTCTCTGTCCATCTCTACTGTGTTATATGATTAGTTTTTTATGTACAAGTATACATATGTGTACATACATACATATATATATATATGTGTAGAACAAAGTACGCCCTTGTGTCTGATATACCAACTATTGATCAACACGTTCCGTTTTCTCTACTTATAGATGGTACGTTACATGTACCCTCGCGCTCATAGGATGTGCGCCAGCGAGACCATAACATTCAAAAGATGAGGTATTAAGATATAGCAATCATCTAACAATCATTCTCTACTTAATTTTTTGTTTCCTCTTTCCTTACTTTTGTCTAGTTGCTTCCTCTTTCTCTCTTTCTCTTTCTCTCATTTTTCATTTTTTTCACATTTTTTTCTTTAAATTTTGTCTTGCAAAGGTATAAGGTTTCATAAGAGTGAAATGGAGAACACATGCGTCACTGTCATGGCGGTACACGCGCTCGAATGGAAGCACAGTTCTCGACAGTGATAACAATAGACTCGTAATTCATGGGAAGCTTCATACTGTTTGTATATGTGGTAACAACATCGATATCCGGACAGGAGGGTTCCAGAGGTCCTTACACTAAAACTTACGCGAATAAAAGTAAAATAGGCTTGAATGCAAGGGTGTGTGACTGAGACATATGTCAAGATTTATGTCGTAGGATCTTTAGATTTTACAGTTTATGAATTTTGGCATGGATGGCTTTAAAAATCTAAAATCGGTTCAAGTTATTCGTGTGGGGATTTACGAACTTGCAGGATCCATAGTTCTACAAATGTATTTTGTGTCTCGATAATTTGTCCATATGTATACAGAATATATATTCTTTGAAAAAAGCCTGGGATTCTCAGAGAATTTTTTTTATTCTTGAAAACCAGGAAAAATAGAATTTTATTGCAATTTAGGAAATTTTTGACATTTTATCTTTAAATTTGAATTTTGTGTCTCAAAATTTTGTTCATAATTTTGTTCTTATACTGTAAGCTGTTGCTAATCCATCAATCATTCAAATTAGCAATCAATACCATACATATATCCATGTACATTGTATGTATGGGTAATTTGTGAATTTTTAGAAAGAAAATTTGATATCTTCTAAGGGTAATTAAGATAAAATATTAATATCCAAAATAAGTTTTTTGGTGATTAGAAAATAAAAAAAAGCACATACAATAAAATAAATTTATTATTTAAGAATTCTTTAATTTTAGCTAAAATTTTGAATAAAAATACCCAAAGAATCTGGGAATTTTCAGAGAATCTTTTTACAATATTTGAATAGACATTCTGAATACATTTGAGAAAATTGGTATACCAAATATATGGATGTATGGATAAATCAAATTGTCCTTGTTACAAATCTTTTTTTAGATATAGCATAATATTCTTTATTCCAATAATGTATTGTTTTGCAAAAAGATAAAGGTGGTTATCTTATCTCTAAGATTATGAGAGAAACAAAAGGATATATCACATTTAATAATACTTTGACAGTATTTTATTTGGTAACATTTTCTGTTTCTTTTTTAGTTTTTCGTCAAAGTCAAATGTAATTTGAGGAAATTTTTATAAAAGGGAGGATTTTTATAAAATATTTATTTTCAATGTTTTTTTTAGATAGTAATCAGCTATTGTCTCATTTCTTATTGTCTACTGAATTATTTTACTTATATTATTTTACATGATTATGTATTTGATACTAATACATCGTAGAATATGAGTATAGAGACTTTGTCGAATTTTACTGTGATTGATAAATTTGAAATATTTGCAATGTTATTCCTATTTACAATTTCTTCTATTTAATTTACCATTACTTTTTGCTTGAAAACGAAGCAATATTCTTGACTTTTATAAAGTTATAAAAAGTATGTCATCAAGGTGCTATAATTTTCGGATGTTAGAGAAATCCCAAAACATTTTATTTCATGAATGAAATTATTTTACAAAATAACTAAACATTACTCATTATCTTTGTACAATTTATAATGATAGCAATTTGCCTTTTAGGTAGTGGCATCACAACACTTAATTGCAGTGCAACAGGAGACACATCAGGCTTCCAAAATTCTTATCCCAATTTTAGCTTATTCTCTAAATTAAATTTGATGTTCCTAAATTGTTTACAAAATGCCTATCCATCTCATCGATCTCATCGGGACAAATAGGATGAGTTATATGTACAGATAATTTGTACAGATAATTTCGACGAGAATTTCGTTTTAGGACGTAATTACACAAAAAAAACACATATTCAAATTGCGCGCAGTAATTTGAACTTTTGGAATTTTTTGCATGCTAAGACCTTATTATTTATTTATATTGTGGCATTTTATCTCGGAGAAATTGGATAGGAACTTTGTAAGCATCCCCTGCGTTATATCTCGAGTTTGCAAACGACCACGTGAAAGTAATGATATGGTAAATTGGTCAACAAACTGGAAAAGAAAAATAATTAGATCAATTCAAGAAAATGTTTTAAGAACTTGCTTTTAGTCTTCGTCAGAGAAATGCTTTGCCTATCATGTTCTTTTAAATAAAGTTTAACGCCAATTAACCGAACCGATATTTGAATTGAATAAGAGAAGAAATTTACTTTGCTTGTGCTCTTGCCACGTATTGCATTGTTATTGAAACGTGACGTATATCGCGTTGCAGCAAGAACGAAACATTTTCTGAATTTGACCGGACGGACCTATGAGAGTTGTTGCAAAGGTGCTTATTCTTGGAAGATCAATCTCTACCCCGTATTGGGAGGGAGAAAAGAAAAAGAAAAGAAAAAAAAAAATACGGTGGTCTGAAACGATTCCTAATTAACAAGAGACACGCTCCCTAATTGCTGGTAATTCGTAGATTATGCGATTAGGGGTGCTCGCTCGCGTCTCTCGCGTTACACCCCTTTGAAATCGTGCTGTCTTTGATGAGGGCTCTCTTTTGCAGAAAATAAAAGGATGTGTGGTTGGCCATTGGTAGTTTAAACACCAAGGCATGCTCAACCCAAGATTGCAATGCTTTCCTAAAACCCGATAAAGCGATTGGTAAGTCTGAGCCAGGTGCATGCGACCGTGTCGCATCGCTATGCTCGCCCCGTCTGTCTTTCTCTCTCTCTCTC